TCCGAATGTATTATTGAAGGTACACCAAATCTAGCAATAACTTGATCCATTATTGTGCGTGCTACAGTTTCTGCTTCCATATCTGGTAGAGCGAATGCCTCTGTCCACTTTGTGAAGTAATCGGACACTACCAGTATATGGCGATTTCCTCTGTCTGTTTCTGGCAACTCGCACAATATATCTGTCGCAATTCTCTCCATGGGAGTACCAGATCCAACAACTTGCATAGGAGCTCTTTGCTTAGGATTTGGATTCTTTCTCTTAGTACACTTTTCGCAACCCAATACATATTGATGAATGTCTTTTTGAAGACCTGGCCAGTAATATTTTTGCCGTATTTTGGCCAATGTCTTGGTCACGCCTAGGTGCCCTGCTGTATGATTGTCATGGCACATTTTCAGTACTTTCCTACGCTCTTTAATCTGGTATGATAGCCTGGTAAATTTCTCGCGAAAGCTGTACATAAAATCCAAACTTCGATCCCGATATGTATCGCCCCGAGGGGAGCAGTACCCACTTTCTCACTATCAGTCCTTCTTTAATGGATAAACGATCAAACTGATTCCAAAGGGATTTCACCACAAATACTTGCTGAGCTACATTTGAAAGAGATGGTCTCTTACCCTTCTCTAACCAAGAACGCACCAACTGAATGTCTTTGTTCTCCGATTGTGCCTCTTTTAAAGAAAGATCATTTTCTTCGATTGGACATAGTCTTGTGCTCACAGCGCGCACTTCGTGCTCTTTTACCAATTCTTCATAAAAGCCACACTGAGAACAAGGTATCCTACTGAGAGCGTCAGCGTTTCCGTGTTTACGACCAGCTGCAGGCCTGTGTTCAATCTTAAAATCGTAAGTATATACTTATCACTTCTAGCCATCTCGCCATCTGACCTTCTGGGTTCTTAAATCGTAAAAGCCACTTCAGTGAACCGTGGTCTGTTCTGACAAGAAAATGAGACCCATAAAGGTAGTGACGAAAATATTTCATAAAATGAACAACAGCCAACAGCTCTCTCCTAGTAACACAATATCGCCTTTCTGCTTTCGTCAAAGTTCTACTTGCATACGCTATCACGCGCCCTTTGTCATCTATTATCTGCGATAGCACAGCGCCTATTGACGTTCCACTTGCATCAGTGTCCAGGATGAACTGCTTGCTTACATCAGGTAATGCTAGTATTGGCGCACTGATTAATCGATTGCGCAATATCTCAAAAGCTTCTTGCGTTTCTGTTGTCCATTGGAACTTCCTACCTTGCTCAGTTAACCGATGCAAGGGTTTAGCTATTGAGGCAAAGTCTCGAATAAAACGCCTGTAGTAGCTGCAAAGTCCCAAGAAAGATCGAACTTCTGAGACATTACTTGGAACCGGCCATTCCGCAACTACTCTTATCTTCTCAGGATCAGTAGAAATACCCTCTTTTGATATGATATGCCCAAGGTATGAGACCTTCTCAGCAAATAGGTTGCATTTTTTAGCCTTTAGCTTCAGACCTGCCTGTTGCAATCGCCTGAACACTTCTCCAAGGTTTTCCAACATGTCCTCAAACGACTTTCCGACAACAATTATATCGTCAAGATACACCAAGCACTTGTCCCAATGAAGTCCTGCAAGTACTGTTTCCATGAGACGCTCAAAGGTAGCAGGTGCGCAACACAGACCAAAGGGCATAACTTTAAACTGATATAATCCTTTGCGCGTAACAAAAGCAGTTTTCTCCTTGTCAGCGTCTTCCATGCCAACTTGCCAATACCCACTGCTGAGATCAAGTGTGGAAAACATTGCATGTCCGGAAAGATGATCGAACGCTTCCTCTATTTTTGGGAGCGGATACGCATCTTTCACTGTAACCTCGTTCAATCGACGATAGTCAACGCAAAAGCGCATGGTTCCGTCCTTCTTGCGAACCAACACAACTGGCGAAGCCCATGGGCTCATTGAGGATTCAATGACACCCTTTTCTAGCATTTCGTCGACTTGTTTATCCACCTCTTGAGATAAATGGATGGGTATCCGTCTAGCTGCTTGCTTAATAGGACGTGTAGTGTGCTCGGTAGATATTTTATGTTTCACTACATTGGTACGCCCTAAATCATAATTTGAGGTAGCAAACAAATCTTGGTGCTCCCACAAAAACTTCTCTACTTTAGATAACTGCACGGAGGACAAATTTACTTTGCACCTGTCCAGCAGTTCTTTCAAATCACTGCGCAGTTCGAAAGTCTTATTCACTTCCTCAGCAGGAGCCTTCTGCGCTTCAACTGCAGTCATGTTTGCAATGAAAGTGCCGTTGCGAATTTGTTGGACATCGTCTGTAACATTCAGGAGGCAAACAGGTACAGTATTATTTCCCTTAACTAAAGTTCGACCTACTAGAGCACGTCCACTCTCTAGAAACTTTCGCTCCGCTTCTACCAAGTAATCTGCACTGCCAAATTTGTTGTTTTCTCCTTGGACCTTTGCTTGAATAACTATTTCACTTCTTGGTGGAATGCATACATCTGAGCTTGCAGTAACTCTATAGCAACCTAACGTGCCTTCCCATGAAAATCGACATTCTTCATTATTCAATTTCAAAGAGCTTGTCTGAAGATCAATTGCGCCATTACAAGCTTTTAAGAAATCAAGCCCAAGAATCCCATCGACAGTGATATCTGCTACTATCACTTCAGCATTGTTCTTTGATTTCCCTACTTGTATAACGAATTGACCTTTCCCAAACTGACTAAGTCGTGATCCACCAGCATTCGTTATTATTTGTCCATTATCTACTAATCTAGGCCTGTCTGTCAACTGATCATATATTTTCCTAGACAGTAAAGTTAAGGATGCGCCAGTATCAATCAAAAATTTACTTTTCACACCATTTACTTCGACATCTATGAAAATGCCTGCCTCTTCACATAAGTTGCTTGCCCCGACATTTCCATTTGTACGTTTAGATCTCTTCCGCCTTTGCCGCGTTCGAATTCGACGCGCATTTCCCTTTGCAGAATGATCAATGCGCTCATCAGCATTATTGCTTTTCTTCTTCAATTTAGGACAATTTCTACGAATGTGCCCTTCCTCTGAGCAATAATAGCATTTTATCTTTTCGCCCTTCCGTCTACTGGCAAATTTACGTCCCCCAGGAACATTTTGATCTATTCCACTGGATTTGTTCTCATCAATGCGCTTTTCTAATGAATCTAATTTCGTCTGAAGTGTCTGCATCAATTTATATAAATCTCTTGGATGCGATACGTCTTCATTTGTAGACTTTGTGAAACTCACAGCGTGACTGTGACCTCTCTTTTCAGTTTTGTAATAGGCATCCAACTCGACTGCCAAACGAATAGCTTCATTTAAATTTTGAGGTCTGCTTTGTTTGATGCGCAAACGCATTTCAGAATCAGCTAACGCATCGATGAAAGCCTCTTTTCCTAGTGTTTCTCGCACTTCCATTGATACTGAGGAATAGGCCAAACTTGTGAGTCTTCTGATACTCTGTCCTAACTCTGACAAGGTCTCTGATGCTCTCTGGCGTCTCTCTTTTAATTGAGCGCGGTACAGCTCCGTTTGGTTTGGTGGTGCAAATCTCTCCTCCAGTGCTTTAACCAACAACTCGTACTGCTGACCAGTCTCAGCAGAAACATTCCCAAGCACTCCTTGAGCAGCACCTCGTAATGAGACGGCTAAATAGAGTCCTTTTTCTCTGTTGGACCAATTATTAATTGCTGCGCAAGCATCAAAATGGGACTTGTAATCAATCCATGAATGACTTCCGTCAAACGTCGCAGGCTTTATGTTACATTTTGAAGCCTTTTCCTCCCTGTTATTTTCCTTTATCAAGGACGAGTTGTCTCTGGAAGGAAAATTGTCTTTCCTTTGCGCCCGACCCGAAGCGAAATGAGGTAATTCCTCATTTCTAATTTGCGCGGGAGGCCTAATTTCATTTTGCTCTTCCGATGGTACTTCCGATTGCACACTCCGTGGACTTTCAAAAGGAGAATGCGCAAGAGTGTTATTCAGCAAATGAACTGGATGCGGATGTGCTTTGGATATCAGGCGCGGCGTTTCACTGCTAGGCTGTGGCGCAATCACTTCATACTGTTGCGCACTCGCTGACGTCAAAGGGGATGTATTCATCACAGAAACAGAATTTCTTCGCGCCGTTTTTCTTCTCATCGTAACACCATCTGCATCTTCATTTTCTTTCCTTAAATCTCTGGATTGCTGTGCATTTGACAAAACCACCGTCTCTTCTCCAAGATGGAACCCTTCTTGTGCGCTTCCACCAGCAATTTTCGCAATGCCTGAGTCGCGCATTGGTCTATCTGTAGCTACTGGTGTAGACTGCTTTTCTAACTCAAGGCGCAGTCGCTCACAGCTCTTTTCGAGAAATGATATCTCCTCATTGATCATTTCCTCCATCGCACTCATAATTAACAAAGGGAAATAAAACACAATTAAAACCTTATCAATTAAAACAATTATTTTACTTTAACAATTTGCCGAATACCACCGCGCTGCCACCAAATTTATGTAACGTTTTCGGGTTCTTTAATGGGATTCGGCTGTTCTATCTGAACAATTAAAGAATAAATCATATTTCCCAATCACAAATTTAAATTAATAATATATACACTGACGCCTTCGTTCCTCGGGAGCGCGTGCCCCTTCCAAAGACTGAAGCGCGTCCGCTTCTTATCTTCAGTCAAAGTGTACCAAGGTACTATATAACAACAAACCAAAGCCTCGAAAGTCTATTTCAGACACTTAAGACTTTATTTAACCAAGGTTTCCCTTGAAGTACCTACACGTTTGACTTCTGTTCTGGCGATCTTCTCTTGTCGGCCGTCCACAACAGACTCAACAACCCAATTGTCTCCGTATTTATATACACTCCAGATCACATGACCTGCGGAGAACCGAAGGGAACAAAGACACAGGAAGTCAGCACAATGCAACTACCGAGAAACAAAGGGTTTATTTGATTCTTTTTGTTTTTCCAAATTCAAGACAAAAATTAAACCAAAATTCTTAATTGCAAAAATCATTCAACATATAAACTTTTAAATAACAAACAGTTTTATGAAAATTTAGAATATCTAAAATCAATTATTTCATAAAATTCTGACACCTCTAGAATGTGCCATTCTGTTCCTAATAATGAAGATATAGCATTTTCAAAATTATCTCGCTCATAATTATCAGCAATAAAACGTTTAATTATAAAGTCTGTTTCTAAATCCTCTGGCAGGTCGTTAACATACAATATCATATCACGACGGACAAGGAAATCTGTCAGGTTTTTATTTAGGTACACCATAAGAAGGATAGCTGCGCTGGACAAGGTCTCCTTAATGGTCACCGTCCGGAGTCGTGGACAGAGCCGAGCCAGTCTTATAATATGGCAGTCCACACGGTCCATATAACTGTGAGGGACAGGGTAATTATAGGGCTGCTGACAGAGGCTGAAGTCCACAAAAGTCGTCAATGTATCAGAGTGATATGTCATAAGTGTGCACACTGATTCTAGATATTTAATCCAGACATTTTTCCGATACACAAGGGAGGCCAGAGGCATGCTAGGCTTCAAGAAAACCTCTTTTTCTGTCCATTCATTGGATGTTGCTAAGAAACAATGAACTCGGAGTTTGGGTCCATGTTTCCTGATTTCGCCCCACTGTGCGTCACTGATTGCCTCATTGTAGAAGCCTCGGGTTTGAGCGTTGGCCACAATATGGAGATCTCTCAGGGATAATGAAGCCAGATGTTTCAATAGACTGAAGTTTAACTGATGGGGAATCATTGCTAGCTCCGTCAGGTTCACAAGGTACATCAAATTACTCAAACAGCTGCTCCGGAAAGAATTTACAATCCATAAGCTATGAAGACAGCCTGATTGTTTCAGTCCAATGGGCAGGGGTGCAT